TGTTAAGCAGTATCGGGAATGGGTGTCGAGCGGGGCGAAAATTCCGACACAACGATCGAGCCTTTAGCCACCAGATCAAACCCGCAGCTGTATGAGGGGTTTCGAACTTTCTGGGCTTTCGGGAATCCCCGTGACTCTCAGACGACCCAGCTCTGGTCACAGGTCACCTGACGATATTGCATGTGTCGGGTTTCGGGGACCACAATGTCGCAAGACCACATGTACCAAGACCTTCGTCATCACACAGCAAAAACAGGAGACTGAGCGTGCTTATCAGTCGACATCAAACAGTAACAAAAGTGAAACCACCCACAGCCTTCGAGACAGAGCTAGTAAGCGTACTACTATACTGGCCAGAAAATAAAACGGACACGCAAGCATGGCATCCGTAGAGTTACGTGTACCAGCCGCCTTAGGTCCACGGCATTCCTTCAAACGTTCAAATTTGTGGGCCAGCGACCGGATGTGTACGACTTAACATGACAAATAAACACGAGACACTGGAACCAGCCTCCCTTCCATTATGGAACATGTGTGGTCACAGGAACGAAGGGGACGGCGAAATACAATGAGTGATCGTCGTACACTCAATGTACGATAATTATTGTACGGTATATGGCTCACACAGGAATGATGGACTTGCTGAAAAATGGAAGAGCACCATTCGCAAATCGACTATTTCCAATACATTTGTGTGATGCAAGTTAAAGGGACCCTCCCACCTTCAAAAAAGTTAATGAATTGGCATGAAAGTGATGTCGCTCGGTTCAGAAAGAGCAAAAACGCATATCTACCAAATTTCATCGAAAAATATTCACCGGTTTTCAAGATATTAGACTTATACTTTTGTTTACTTTTTGGGATCTCCGCTGTTCCTAGCGACTTTATTTGAAAGTGCGGCATTTGTTGCGCGCAAAGCAGCATATACCACCGCGTGCTACAAAACGTTTTAGTCAAACATTTAACGGACGTTCGAAAGCCTGATGACGTCATCAGATTCCCGTAATGGTTAAGAGATAGGGACCACGCTGGTCCCACCCTGCAAGTAAAGGGAAGAAATTTCTTGAACACCATAAAGCTGCGGGGGTTGCGACCAGGATAAATGGTGGTTTCTGAGCCTGGCCGCAAACTTGGCTATCTCAACTCAAAACTAATGTTAAGGTGGGAGGGTCCCTTTAAAAGATGTAAGACATTGCATTGTTATTTTGCTTTCAAAACGGGGACCCAGAGTTGAACTGAGCATACGTGTTATTTTTTTTTCGCTGCTAAAGCGGGAAAGATCACTGTCGACTGTCGTATAGGTACGCCTCCAAAGACTCATGCTCAAAGCAGGGCTGCACATCGATCTATGGTGTATAATTGCATTGGCTGCGAAATAAGTCGAAATAAGTCGAAATAAGTCGGTGAAAGAAACGAAATATGTCAGTCTTATTCGATTGCATGTGGTCTTTCAGCGCGGTGAAACACGGCTAAAAGCTTTACGTCCTGACTGACGGCGCTTCGCCAACATTAAGCCGTTCGATGTTCGATGTGACGAAAAAAAAAAAAAATGCATTAACGAACTTGGCAGAGAGCGACGCATGTCTCTAGTACATACACTGAAACTTCTGCAACATGTTAACTTTGCGCATCTGGATGAGATAAGCTCAATAAGTCTACATTTACTTTATTACTAGAATATCACCCAAGATGCAGTCGGAAGAACGGCAGTCAATGGTCCCAATAACATAACACAGCACACCAAAATCATAGCATTCTCCACAAACGCCCCCCCCCCCCCGCCCTCTTTCGGGCCCAGCTTATGGCATCATTACGTCGCTAAACCTTAAGCCGCTGAATGCTACTTCGATGTGACAAAAAAGGCATAAATACATAGATCAAACCAGCTTCACCAATCTCCCACCTCCCTCTCGTGATGCCTAACGACCGAACATTGCCTACCCTTCGGACGCCAGCCTACTGCGGCATGAGACTACGTCTTTCTGTCCAATTCTATCACACAGCTCAAGTATACCAACGGAAAACGGCCGTCTCTCACACCATGCCAGACCTACCGACGGAGACCTGCTGGTTGACGGAGAAGGGCGTCCGCCGCAGGTCCAGGCAGTAGTCGTAGTTGATGGTGCCATCCCAGCGGTACCGCAGCACGTGCCCAGAGGCCGTGGCCACCATCAGCTCGTCGCGGATACATGTCAGACACGTCAGCCGGGAGTCGAGGCCCGTCTGAAACGCCTGTCGAGTGAGGAGGGGGAGGGGAGGTCAGATGTGGAAGGTGCGGATAGAGCAGCGTCAGCCGCGAGTCGAGACCCGTCCGAAACGCCTGTCGAGCGGGACGGGGGGGGGGGGTTAGAGGTGGGAGCTGTAGAAAGAGCAGCAATAGATGGGAGAAGCCATATGCGTGTGAGGTCGGTTCGGGGTTCGAGATCGATTTCTTGAACACAAGCTTATTGGTATGTCGAACAAAACAGACATACTGATCGTGTCAAAGATACGTGCACCGTAATATCACCTTTCTTCTACCAAAGTCGATGTATTCTTTTTTACTTTTATTATGTCTTATCTTCGCTGTTCATTAATTAAGTACGAGTTCTGTCGCCGTCGCCATCCGTAATTAAGGCTAGTCACATAATTCAAAAACTTTCACCTCTCACATCACAACTTTTGCAGGACTCGGAGTCCTGCATCCGCCCCATATCACGACCTATTACCGTGGCTGGGACGGGATGCGGCTAATGGGTGAACTCGTGACTGACATAGAGCTGTCACAAATCAGGCGGTCCCCGGTACCGCCCACAGGTAGCCTCTTCCCCTTCCCAGACCAGTCCCCCACTCTGGATGGCGGAATACGCCCTAGTATGGGCGGCGAGGACCTAGCACGCATCCCACACCATCCATTGGTCGCTCCCATATAGCGGAGGCCGCGGAAAACACATGTCAAAGTTCGGTACCGGTGATCAGCACGGACATTTTTCACCCGCCGCATTCACCTTGAACTTTGGCTTTTGTTGAATTCAGTAGTAGGGCAAGCTGAACGACGACATAGACTGTCGGAATCGGTACACTGATGAACCTGTTTCCCTGTTTGAGCGTGCATGTGTGCCCTGATGCTGCTACATTTATAAGCTGAGATAAGAAATAAGTTCAGTTTGTGACAAGTGCAAGAGAACATCTCGTAACATGCCGTTCAAACTTGCGTCACAAGTGTATCTTATGCCTTTCTCCCGCGAGAAATGAACAGAAAAACGAAAGTTTTACATGCGATTATCGGCAGGCTACGCTATCACACGTCTAGATGCAAATGAGAATGTCACGGGTGGGCAAAAGCATTAGATTAGGCATCTAATTGGAACACAACAATCCCCGCCCATTTTCCCACCTGACAAATGAATCGATGGACAGCCAACACAGCATGCCAGGACTGTCCTGGGTGGGAGTTATAAAAGGTAAAACATGTCTCCAATGATCAAACTAACCAAGAGTACCACTGCTGGATAAAGTTCACCACTTTTTGATGACTGGCAGGATGGCACCTAACCACCAGGTAGTTATCAAGATCAAATAAGCTTCAGGTTATGGCAAAAAATTAATGAATAATGGGATTTACAGCACATAAATTCAACAAATGCCTTGTGCCTTGTGGAGGGACATTGTTGGAGAACCAAAACCACCCATTATACATTAACCAGTAAGAAAATAATAAAAGAACCTGAGCAGAGACTCAGCACCTACCTTGGCAAAAACCAATGGAGGGATGGGCTCTTTCAAGAAGAGTTCTGCACTCTCTCGCCGTAGCGCAGCCTGTGATGAATCCACCTGCTGGTATACACTTGTCTTCCTGTTGTCCACAGCAAGGTGGAAAAACAAGAGGAAGTTCTTTGACGTCTGAAAGACAGAGAACACCATAACTCATGTGCACAACTTCCTCAGCTGGGGAGCAATCCCAACAGTATACAATATAAAACATGTTTATGAAGCCCAGTGCAAGCAGCTGATCTGCACATTACTTTGTCAAAATTGAATTTACACAAGCACATACCGTAACAACAACCATGGAGGAGTCTGGCCTCCATTGCAGATCAATGTTTGTTCCATGTTTCTCCAGTGACTCCTGAGACCTCTTGTGACATGCGATGGGCAGGGGTGGCTGTGGATAAAATGAAATACCAGTGATATAAGTTACAGGTACTGACAAAATCAATGCACAAAATTATTTGAATCTTACAGGACTATAAAAATATATAGTGAAAATTATATTAATCCAGTGATTATGATTAGCAACATGAAAACAAGATTGTGGAATGTGCGTACTGGAAACGCGGAAAGATTGGTAGGTAGGTAGATACCTGCCTATTGACACTCTCAATAACTATTTTTTCAGCTGAACAAAAGACACTATTTTTTGTAACTCCTACAAATTGGTCAACAGGATATATAATAAAATAGCAAGAAAAATAGCCTACCCACCTTGGAAAACCATATTGTTATCTGAGAATCTGACAGTATTGCAAATAGTATTCTGTCCCTATTACAAAGTATCCTTCTGTATTGCTCTTCCCCATTGTCAATTCTTGGGTCTAACACCTTAGGCCAGCCAATTGGAAAATACATTTTACGAAGAGACTGAGCGGAGGGCTGTCATCTCCCCTCTCCCCTCAACGAGACTCGTCGGTCGGACTCGTCAAAATAACTGTTTCATTGGCGAATTTGCAGATCAGCTGCTACCATATTACGCTATTTGTGCGAAATTCTTCAAAAGTCTTTCATTTCCAGAGATTTATTTATAAGTCTCAACACAAATTGTATTTTTCTTTACGAATGGACAAACATTAAAAGCCATGTTTCTACAGTTTTATTTTTTGGTTTTCCTCTTATAGAATTTGGTATTGAAGACAAAAATGATGATAAAAATTGCAACCCCATTCTAGGGAGATTAGAGGAAAAAGAGCAATATGCTACCATATGATTGTGTATGGCTTCAATTTCTACAGATACTGCGCACTACGTTCAAAACTAGCGCGATCTCATTCCTGCAGGCTGCAGCGATGGTATACGTATTTTTGAGCTATTATTGTGATTATTGTGAATTATTTAGATCGGAAGTAAGGATATGGCTGTGACGAATGGAGGATATAAGGGTAAGATATAAGAATACCCATAACTGGACTGGGCTGATAACGATAAGACTATCCATTGACCATTCTTATTGTTTTCCTGTCAGTGCGTGCCTTGATTGTGATGGGCTCAATTTTGTGGTTACTTCAACTTTTCATTTTTTACATCACACATATTTCAACTTCACAGTCTTACAGTTTACTTTCCACTTTCTGATAATATTTAGGATAAGGGGCGCTAGTTCTGGATTGTTGTGATTCTACCTACTCAAAAACTGTACTGCTACCACACACTACTTTGACTTGTTTCGGTTTGATTTCCACAGATCACAGAAGCATGAGATGACAAGGTATGCACTTGCAGGCAAGATGAATGGAACATAATGACTTCATGGACCAGGAAAGCAAATCCACTGATGTGCTGTATGACCAGAAGGATTTTTCTGAATGTGATGACTTGGTGAGATTGACACTATTTTCTTGCTATAGAGAATAGGTACCAGGGTATATTGACATAGGTACCATCCAATCATTAAGTTTTGTAAGAATTGAGTTTGCAGTACATTCATAATATTCATGCCTGCAGTTGCTTGTTTGTCTGTGAAACTATTTACTAGTTTTCATCTGATGCCAGAACTAAGAAATGCCTCAAATCAGTTGGGGGAGGTTTGGTCAATGGTTGTCATTTTTAGCACATGCCATTTTTGGCAACCATGTGCTAAAAATGACAACGCTATCAGCTATTTTTAGCAACGATGAAGCCGATTTCACTCCTCAGCGAGGAAATCACGATTTTGGAAATACAAGCACTGATTTTGGAAAAGAAGTGCTGCCACCTGGTGCAAGAAGAAGAAACCAGCTTTAATATGGCCGTTGTTTGTATGGTAGTCCAACGTTGAAGTATACCCTTTTTTGTGGCCCGAAGTTGGAACTTTAAATTGAAGCATCCGAAAATGATCGATATTGATCGAAATCATGATGTTGATGAAAAAAATAATATGTTAAGTTGAGAGAGTAGGCCATTTTATCCAGATGCGGTGGTTTACTTCTTGAAATTATTTTTGCTTACGACGACTGCCATGTAATGAGGGATAATTAGCAGCCGTCATTAGCAAAAATAATTTCAAGAAGTAAACTACTGCATCTGGATAAAATGGCCTCCTCTCTCAACTTAAAATATTATTTTTTTCATCAACATCATGTTTTCGATCAATATCGATCATTTTCGGATGCTTCAATTTTAAGTTCCAACTTCAGGCCACAAAACAAACTACCATACAAATAACAGGCATATTAAAGCTGGATTCTTCGTCTTGCACCAGGTGGCAGCACTTCTTTTCCAAAATCAGTGTTTATCTTTCCAAAATCTTCATTTCCTCGCTGAGGAGTGAAATCGGCCTCATCGTTGTCAAAAATAGCAGAATCGTTGTCATTTTTAGCACGTGTGACAAAAATAGCACGTGCTAAAAATGACAACGATTGACCAAACCTCCCCCGACTGAAATAGGTTGTGCTGTCTATTTAGCTTGAATGTTTATATTGATGAAATAATATAATATAATATACTATTGACTTTCTATCTATCTTGCCATCATAATCTGCAATTTGTAACTGCACTGTATATATCCTCAATATGCATGCAGATTTGTCTGCTGGTAAGTGCTTTTATCTGTGCCATTTATCAATTAGCAATGCGCAGCATATGGCTGGCTAATTCCACATACAGTAGTAACTAGTAGGTAACCAGAACATCATATTGTGTTTAATTAGTGATCCGTCCACTGGCTCACTCATGATTCATTTCTGTGTCAGAATGAAGTTCGCCAGCTGGTGCAGTTCTCTCGAGCGGAGGTGCGCTCTGAACATGTGTGGCTGGAGCGGCTCTCGCTGCCCTGTGTGCTGGAGACGGCCCTCGAGACGCTGGCCTCGCTGCCCGACAGCCAGCTGCTGGCGGCTGCCGAAGCTGCCCAGCTGCCGGCAGCGCTCGGCTCTCTGCCGGCAGCAGCGCGGGCCGGGCCCCTGCCGGCTCTGCTGCGCCGTCTGTCGGGGGTCGGGTCGGAGCCCGCCCTGCGACTGGCAGCAGACATGTTCTGGGACCTCTACACAGCAGGTGAGAGCTGTGGCGGTAGATGTGACTGCTGCGAAATATATTCATACAAATTGAAATAGAACGATTTTACGTGACCTTCTTTGCAATTACGAGAAATTTGCCGTCCTGTGGGCGTCAAGTACCAGTCACCAGCGACTACCGAACAAATGTAATCGGATTTTACGGAGATAATCGCATGCCCGCGGTCCTACCGAACTGCATTGCAAGCCGGTGATTTATATTTTATCGCTCAATTTATTTGCGGTGTGGTTTGTTTGCCGATAAACGGCACTGCGAACTCGGTCCATTGTAAGGCTGGCGGCAATGGCGCTGTATCTTTTGCTGATGATATGCACCGCAAGTGCACGCAATCTGTTTCCCAGAATAGTTTTTAAACATAGTGCTGATCGGTTATATTACGATAAAAGTGATTGAAACCGGCAGAGCTGCTTGTAGCTCTACAGGACGTGTGACCAGATCGCGTGATAGGAACGCCACGGTCGCGTATGAATTGGGGTTTGGCATGCTTTTGGTGCAGTTTTCCTGGGTATTTCTGCATTCATTGACCACACCGTAGTCCGTACCGCTTTCGTTGTTACGCCAAAAAAGAAAAGCGCATTATATACCGCAATGAGCAATGCACAAGAAAATTCACAAGCATCTTCTGAACTACCTAGGCAGGAGGGGATATTACATAATCTGGTTCACTTGTAACATACAGGGATCTTAAATGCACTACCTGCGTCACGTTTTCCGCGTCTCGTTGTCCCCGTCAACGGACTGCGTTGATCCCCGCTGACGTTCGCCGTGTTCCCGTCAGATGTCGCCCCGGTCGTGGAGCGCTGCCGCTGCCTGCTCGCCTCTCCGGCCCTCCTGGAGCGACTCACCCTCACCGCCATCGGCCGGCGCGAGCTGACCCCGCTGGCGCGCCTGGCCGCCGCCAGCGAGCCGCTCTCGGCGCGCCTTTTCCGGCTCGTTCGCGCCGTGTTCGAGTCGAGCGGCGGCTGCGGCGCGGCCGCGGCGTTGGCGGCGCAGCTGGCGTCGGACGTACAGCCGCAGCTGCCGCCGGGACTGCTGCAGGCTCCAGCGGCGTCCCTGGTGCTCTCTGACCGCCGCGCGCCTAGCAGGCTAGAGACTCTGACGCGCCGGAGACGAGGCTCGGCGCACGTGCGGTGGCTGGCGGCGCTCTACCCGGACCAGATGAGGACTTTGTGTACAGAGAGGACGCTGTACGGGTGCCCGAGACTGAGGAGGCTACTGGCGGGGGCGCAGGGCCCCGTGTTGTGACCGCAGTGATCTGATCCCGGAATGTACGAGAGGACGTACTTTTCAGGGCGTTGATACTGAGTTTGATTTGTATCGGTCGAGGGTATGCTGCACCAGCGACCAGTGAGTTGGGTGTGACCGAATTTCTGCAGGCTTGTGCCATGTGATAGCGGATGATCGATCATTCAACGTTGTGATATTCAGTCTGGCCATGGCAATGGACGTATCTCCTTGCCTCATTGCATGCATAGTACTCAATTGGCATATCCTCCAGATGTTGCCGTGACTATTTGTGGCGGTATGTTTGATGCAAGAATGGTGGGCCGAGAGCGCACATAATCCAGGTGCTCTACTGAGACTGCACTTTACCTCATCGCCAGTGTGGAACTGGACAGGTATGTTCTTAAGCTTGTCGTTTTGCGATCTTGTTCACTCGCATGTTGTATGCAATTATAATCCTGTTTTAGCATAGCGTCATCGCAGTTCATTATACCAGTCATCGACGTGCATTAGCCAGACATGCAATGCAATAAATATTGAACGTTCGTAATTCCCGAGTCATGAAAGGAAATAGAGAGCAGCAAATCGTCCGATTCATTTATTGCATCTTGAGGGCGCCAACTGCACAGATCAAGCAGCCATTCAATGGCATAAATGACTGGTCGGGCAGTCCACAGGCGACCCGTAAATGAAATTAAAGGTGAGGCCTGCCATTGTGGGTCACCATAGCGATACGGTAGTAACGACACCCAGCCTCTACACACCACGAGGCCTAATCTCTATCGGTAGAGCTAATGGGTCACCAGTTATACCGAGCAAGGATGGGCCGCGCTCAGGTGGCAGCATGGCACAATCTGCCTCCACCGATTCACCGGGATTCAGGTGTTCGCCAAATGTCAGTGGGCAAAACAGAGGCCCAATTAATTCACCGACTAAACGAGCCAATTCTCTAGCATCGACATCACTCGTCTACAAGCGTCAGCAAAAGCCAGTTAAGTTTGTCCAATTGACTGACAAAACACAAATCTGGCATTCAAATGGGCAAATGCAACAAAAAACAGCTTCATGCATAACACACGCTCGCCCTGCGTGACTTCACCAGTATCACAAATCGTTCTCAACCAAGCTCGCCATGAGCAGCAAAGTCGGCTCACAACTTCTCAACAAAGTTTGCTGACCATGATACTGGTTTGAAGCATAACAAATGCTTGGAGCTGGATAACATTTCCTGCTTGACTTGACTACAATAACAACTGTTGTCAGTGACATAGCCCCAGCGACCGAGAAATAAATCACCTATACACATTGCGAACTAGCTGACAAAAGCAGCCACAACCAAGCTCAACCTCACAAATGGTATGACTGATCACACAGACTGATACCGAGTGCTTTTGATTGCACTAACGGCTCATTACAGACCACGCATCATATCCTTTATCTTTCGTTGACGCATTCCTCGCTGCTCAATACTGGCCAACCACCAATGTCGCCGAGACAATTTATTCCGACCTTCTCTAGCTAACCCTCTCAAAACTGATCTCGGTACCTATCGAACCCCGCGTACCGATCGAACTCGGCGTACCGATCATACCTATCAGCCGCCGGCGTCAGAGGGGTGCGCACCTCCCTCCACCGACCGTCGAGCTCGGAGTCGTCGGGCTCTCCTGCGCCGGGGATCCCTGATACGGGTGTTTCCAGCATCTGCGTCAGGTTGTCCCTGGAGGCCGCTGCCGAGGGCGGCGGCTGGTCGGCAGCCAGCAGCGCCACCTGGCCGATTATCCAGCGAGCCGCGTACAGCGCCGCGGCGTGCGTAGCCGCCTGAGCCGCCAGTGTACCGATTCCCTTGTACAGACCCGATACGCCCTCATCTTCTAGGATGGTGAAGAAGCAGTCGAGGGCGCCCTCGTAGCGCGTGCTGACGGGCAGTACCGAGGATCCCGTATCCAGGTTGTCCACGATGGAGCGCGTGCCCTGCAGCTGCAGCCGGTGCAGCACCGTCTCCAGCGGGTAGAGCAGCAGGTCGGCCGAGTAGCGACCCACCGCCGCCACGGCCAGCTGCTGGTGGCACCTGTCCAGGGGCTGGCGCGCGCGCGGCACCGCCCCGCGCCGCCGCTCGGCTCGGTCGCGTAGGATACGGAGTACAGCAGAGGCGACCTCCGCGCCGATGGCACTCAGGATGTAGTGCAGGATACCGTGCAGAGCAGCCGGTACGACCAGGGTCCACACTGGCAGCAGACGCCCGCCGCTGTACGGCGTCAGACCGGCCACGGCGCGGAACGCTCCCTCTGTGAACACGTCCAGCACGCCCGGCCGCTCGCTGGCCACCTCCGACTGTACCGACTCTGTCAGACTCGCTGCCGAGAACGGAGCCGCGGCGATCAGGCCGGCCGTCTTCAGCAGTAGGTGGCGGCCGGCCTGGCGCGCAGAGCTGCCGCGGGCCAGCTCCCGCGGCCAGGGTGCCACCTTGCTCACCAGATCCTCAGCGGCCAGTCGGAGGCCCTTCACGATCACCGCACTCCCCAGTCCCTTCCAGAGAACCCCCAGTCCCTGATGGCGGTGTAGGTTGAACAGCACCGGCGCTAGAGTGACCGGCGTCAGGTGGTAGCGACGGGCAGTGGCATTCACCTGACACTGCCGGCGCAGCACCACAAACGGGTGCGTCAGAACGTGCTCCACAATCAGTCCGGCCGCGTTCGTGGCCACCACCAGGTACTGGGTGTTGGGGGAGGTGGCCGGCTCGGTCGTCTGCTCGGGCAGGGGGAGGGACGTTGGGCGAGCACTGCCCCCCGCCCGACGCTCCGGCAGACGACGCTCCCAGAACGGAGAGTCTTCCCCGCGTGCTGCCATGTAGAACTTGTAGTCGTCCAGGCCAGCCATAGGGGGCGCTAGTAGTTCAACGAGGGGGTGTAGAAAAGAAAAGTGATCATCCGAAATTTGATTGCTATATCTTGATGTCAAACATCACCCTGATAAAGGAAGTGAAGTGACTATATTGTGAAATAATTTTCTCTACAGAAGTACTTTTGCTTGAACCTGAAAAATAAAATACCACTGGTTACACAGAGGTGAAAGCAACACAAGTTTAGCCACAATTAAGCCTGGCTAAGCTGCTAGTCAGTGTCCCCCGACGGCTCTTTCCAGTTTGTTGACCCCATGGTGCAATCAATTATCAAACCACAATCTGATGGAAAGTAAAACTGTGGCTGCCAAATATTTCAGCCCTAGGTAACTCAGATTGAACTTTGAAGTTTATTGTAGGAAAAAATGCATGCTTATAATCATTCAGCTCTGCACTTTGCAATGTCCAGCAATGTGCAATAAGCTTTTATAGCTGATCTTATCATCTTTGTAACTATGGGTGTAAGTTTCTGCCTCATTGTGGGTGCCCAACTCACCAAGCTCTACCAATTCCATGCAGGCTTGGCCTTTGTAGCTGCATCAGACAGTCCAGGACCCAGGTCAAGGTGACTGACCCATGACCCCATGACCCCAGGCCCAGCCGGTAAATGTCAAGTTTAAGTCCTAAGAAGATTTCATTGATAAATTTTTCATATTTTTACATTATTTGACATCCTGAATCCAAAAATGATACTCATATGTCTCGCAAATAAAAGAAAAAAACATAATCAAACCTGACCTAACCTTACCTACTTACCTATAACCTACCAACCTACAACCTACAAACCTACCCTAACCTAACCTAACCTACAAACCTACCTACCTACAACCTAAAACCTACAAACCTACAACCTAACCTAACCTAAAACCTAAAATTTTTGCTGTTTCATATTCGTATCAGAAGCGCCACAATTGTAGTTAGGACCTAAACTTGACATATACCCACAGCCTACGGTTTTGTAATGCTCATTGCTGGGGCCCCCATAACTCAGCAGAACTGGACCCTCATGCACATCAAAAATAAATCGAAATGGCTGAAATTTAAGTGAGTGCCCAAGGATAATTGAATTTTGAATCCAATTGGATTATTGGAAAGACTAAAAGAAGCCTACGAATTCACTGACAATGTGAATCCTAATCCATATGACAGTACTCATTCAAAGGGCAAACTCATCAGTCATCACCATCACCTACATAATGACACTTTGGATATAAAAATAATGTATTGTGGTAATGATGTAGGTAGTAAAACATTAGAAGAAGTTTTAGATTGAAAAATATAACATTTTACATTTTGAGCAAAATTTTAAACAATAGAAATCACCAACTGCTGACATTTTTGACCAATTGTGCACGCAAATTTTGTCAACAATGTGGAAACAATAATGTTTATGTGAACACTATCAGCAATTTCAGAGGCCGGTTTTACCAACAGAAAAATAGTCTCCTGCAGGAATTTTCTGCCTTAGCCCTTAAGACCGCTTCACATATGAACCAAAAATGGTAGACCTATCCGCTTACGTGCTCAGCACGCCTACTATGTGTATGCATGTGAAGCAGTCTTAGGGAAGGAAAAATTCCAGCAGGCGGCTATTTTTCTGGTGGTCAAACTGGCCTCTGATCATATTCTTCGCACCAGCATCTTTTTTCCGCTCCCGGAAGCCAGTAGGTGGAACTATGGTCATGAGTACCCAAATATGGGAACGTTCCCATTTTTGGGAACAGAGTTCCCAAATATGGGAACGGGCGTTCCCATTTACGGGAACGGAAGGTAATTTTTCGGCCGTTCGCCCACTAAAACTCATTATTGCATCACGTCTCAAAAAAGTGCACGCTAATTTAAGTATCTACTGAATCTCTATAAAATTATCTTTTATCTGACCGTTGAACAAGGAAATTGACCGTCGAATGATATTTTTAATGATTTTTTTGAAATGACGGAATGGTGAAAACATGGGTTATACTACATTTAACATGCAATTTAAAGGAAAATGAAGCGTTTTTTACATTTTGAGGTCAAGTATAATAATTTTCGCCTGGTTATTAAGTTTCATACTAGCGACACCAGATGCTGACATATGCAAGCGAACACGCGAACAGTCCCGAGGTAATATTGTTGACTTTTGGTCTCGGGGCGCACGACCGCGTGGAACGTCAGTGATTTTACCGAACTACTGTTGTAAACTCAGTTTCAGTGGTTTAAAATTATTCAGCTGTATTTTATCAGCCCAGAAAGACATATTTTATTTGGATGCTAGCTGTTTAGCATTGTTTTATAAGGAGCGTCATGAGCGTGGTTTTTGTCTTCCGTGTTTCTAAGCATGATCGTTTTGGGGGAATTTCTCTTATATAGGTCGCTCTGTGTGGCTTATTTATAATTTTTATGCTGATTTCGATCATTCCTCATGCCCATCCTACCAGGCCTTTTGCCACTTACACTCATCAAGAAAGGAAAAAACTAGATTTTCCATGGGACTAGGTGTTTTGAGGGTGTAACATATTCAGCGTTCCCATTTTTGGATACTTCCTTGTGCTCGTCAACTATCGGTGATAAACAGACAGGTGCTTGACATGTCTCCACCCTCGGCGCGGACGGTGGATATAGGTATGGAAGACCTTGTTGAACATCGCTGAGCGTTGTGAATTACGTAATCCTGCAGAGGGGGGCGTGTCCGCTGCGAGATCGACGGGAATAAAAGCGCAGAAGACCGGGCGAAACATGCGACGGTCTTGCCGGAAAGGTCATCTGATGATTGTTGCTTAACAATAATTTGCGGCGTTGGACATGATGCTTGTTAAAGGGACCCTCCCACCTTCAAAAAAGTTAATGAATTGGCATGAAAGTGATGTCGCTCGGTTCAGAAAGAGCAAAAACGAATATCTACCAAATTTCATCGAAAAATATTCACCAGTTTTCAAGATATCAATATTAGACTTTAACTTTTGTTTACTTTTTGGGATCTCCGCTGTTCCTAGCGACTTTATTTGATAGTGCGGCATTTGTTGCGCGCAAAGCAGCATATACCACCGCGTGCTACAAAACGTTTTAGTCAAACATTTAACGGACGTTCGAAAGCCTGATGACGTCATCAGATTCCCGTAATGGTTAAGAGATAGGGACCACGCTGGTCCCACCCTGCAAGTAAAGGGAAGAAATTTCTTGAACACCATAAAGCTGCGGGGGTTGCGACCAGGATAAATGGTGGTTTCTGAGCCTGGCCGCAAACTTGGCTATCTCAACTCAAAACTAATGTTAAGGTGGGAGGGTCCCTTTAACCAATTTACTCTGATAGAGTATTCAAAATGCATCAATCAACTCGTTTTGACAACATCTCATCAATCTAAGAAACGCTTATAAATTGTGGAAGTAATTTCGTTCTTGACGGCACCCATAGATCACCATGTGCCGTGGCAAGCGATCCAATAAATGAACAGGTAGGAAAATTGTATCGGTTCGATCCATGGAACGCTGATTAGTTAGTTCGTGGACTAGCCAGCTTCTCGTTCTGTTGCATCAAATGTTATATTGTAACGATGGAAAAACTTTGCTCGGATGTCAGTTGGCGACTACACGAAGTTTCTTGAGGGGTAGCGGTAGTCGGTAAAGTAATTTATGCTACGACATTTTTAACGCATGCAATGATCCCGATAAATATCAAATTAAAGGGACCCTCCCACCTTAACATTAGTTTTGAGTTGAGATAGCCAAGTTTGCGGCCAGGCTCAGAAACCACCATTTATCCTGGTCGCAACCCCTGCAGCTTTATGGTGTTCAAGAAATTTCTTCCCTTTACTTGCAGGGTGGGACCAGCGTGGTCCCTATCTCTTAACCATTACGGGAATCTGATGACGTCATCAGGCTTTCGAACGTCCGTTAAATGTTTGACTAAAACGTTTTGTAGCACGCGGTGGTATATGCTGCTTTGCGCGCAACAAATGCCGCACTTTCAAATAAAGTCGCTAGGAACAGCGGAGATCCCAAAAAGTAAACAAAAGTAAAAGTCTAATATCTTGAAAACCGGTGAATATTTTTCGATGAAATTTGGTACATATTCGTTTTCGCTCTTTCTGAACCGAGCGACATCACTTTCGTGCCAATTCATTAACTTTTTTGAAGGTGGGAGGGTCCCTTTAATGAAAAGAGCCCCTGAAAGGCGTCGGTGAAATCGTTCCCAATTTTGGGTACGCCGTTCCCATAATAAGGAACGCTTGCAGCGCCAGTGTACGAGAGCGTTCCCAAATTTGGGTTCGCGGCCCGGATGATGGACTGCTTTAGAAATAGGGGAACGATTTGAAACTACGATGGGCCTTACAATATCAAACTCTTTCCCAACAATATTGAGACAAATATCAGGCGGTTCACGATCGTTTTATATTTTTTGGACGTCATTTAACGGTTCTTTTTCTTGTTTTAAATAATTCCTACATGGCGTTCCCATATTTGGGTTTATCGTTCCCAAACATGGGAACGAAAATGCGTTCCCGAAAATGGGTACGCTTGACCATAGTTCCGCCTACTGAAGCGACGCCATTTCAATGTTGATGTAATTCATAATCCAATATTTTCTACTAGAAGCACGACCCATTAAATTAATGCTCTTTATAAGGACAATTTTCTCTTATTAAAATTACAGCCTATGAAATTGATATTAACCCATATAAAAATAAATATTATACCCACCACAAAACACTAATATCAATATCAACCGCGCGCAACACTGCGCGAATTTTTGCATCACGTTCGTCTCTGTTGCGCAAATAAACATTCAATACAAATAGAGATGGGAATCGTTTCGAAAGCACAGCGGCCATTCCATTTTTTGGCTACTCGACAAGTGATTGAAGCTCGATTGTGTTGGATTGTAATTTACAGGGGCCATTTATCAATCAAAATAATAAAAAAATCATTGACATCCAAGATTTTGGTACCATTTTTTAATTACGCTTCACTAAATGTTTTAGAACTGCAAGTTTTCCGCCAGAAAACACGGCGAATAGACCATAGGCACCAATGTCCAATAATAAGCCCCGATTGAAAGGTCTTTTGACGGATCAAGAAATTGGATGATACCAGTTGGGACGTTTCCCCAATCCCCAAAACGCTTTCGAATTTCCTAAAACTAGGACCTCACTTGTTTACAGTTTTCGCGTCACTAAGGAATGACAAAAGCTTTGATTTCACTGCCAAGTTCGGAGGCGCTAAGAAGAGCAAATGACCAATATGCCCCTCCTCCTGCCCCCTCTACCATTGTAATTGTCGTGCCTGACTGAGGCACAAAATATAATTTTCTTATGAACGATATACCTTGTCAGTGGAAACCAGTTACCAGGCCGTATTTGAATCATTGATCAATAGCTGCCAGGTACCGGTTCGTGTGCCTCAGGAGTCACGAGGCGTTGTGACCAAGTATTTGCTTGATATTTTGAACTAAACGCATTCGTCTTTATAACAATTTATTAAACATTATGAAATCCGTGGGCCGAGAGCTTTCTCTTTCACCCGGCGGGCATTTCACCATAATCCAAAACAACTGACCGTGAAAAGCGGCACGCACTGATTACAAAAATATTCGCATTGGATGGACTCAGTGATTAGTGAAGAACTGATTGGTAACGCTAATAGGCGCAGCCAGGCGCGATACCCGCGAGCGACTAGCATCGAGGGATAGTCCACATCCATTAGGGTGAGGTGCACACCTGCCCACGGCTATAGGTACATTCTCTACCAGAAACTACCAGGGAAGTGACAGTTATAGAGCGCGCTCACAGGGTACCGCCCGGCCGGCGCCCTCAAACACCACATCAACACACATCAGCCGTCGATCACAATTCACAGCGAGAAGAGGAGGGACAGTGAGACACAGGGCAACAGCGACAGCCTGCAGACACAACACATCATGCAACACGCAACACGCCGGTATTGTACCGTCCCTCAACACAGCCACTCCCACCCACAGAACCCCACACAAGACCACCAAGCGGCCTACAAAGCAAGCGAGCGCTACTGTTGGAATTCTATATGTGAGCCGTGAGCATCAAACGGTGCCGGTACCGAATTACGTAAAACGATTCACCGTCACAGTCGCACCGCTGCCGCCATCACTGCCACGCAACTGTTTGATTAAATCAGTCGTGGAAGGGAGGGAGTTTAGACAAAAGTCATCGCCGAAGACAGATTACAATAGCAGTGAATGGGTTTCTTCCAATTACCATCGTCACCATATACTACCAGCATTCACTGTTCCGCGCTTACAGAAAACGGAAAAAGGACAACATATCAATCGCTGCAGCATCATCATTTGCGGCAAGAGTCGGGCAGGGGGTGTGGTCGCGGAGCATGACGCACTGCAGTTCACACCGCAATCGCCCCATCCCCAGAGTGGTCCCCGCTTGCGGTGTGGCAGAACATGACACACGGCGGCTCCCGGGGTCGATATAGCGTCCAGTCGCGGACCGGGCGACCGTGTCGTGTCAGCCACCGAGTGTCGGGGAAGCACGTGACCGACAGCGAATGGCCCCACGACACGTGTGTCAGGGGGCGCTCAGCTGATTAACACCCCATGTGACTCACATAATACGGTATTCGTGCCGTCATGAACACTGCGCAATGCTGCAGAGACCTTTCCTGGAATTGGTCAACGCTGGGGCTGATGGGGAAGGCCGGTAACGGTAAGGGGTGGGGACATACGCCCATGGGCTCTACGGTACGTCAAATACATACTGGGTCAGCGTGCGACTGTCTGTGGTGGATTACATGCGCGGCGGGTCCTGGATCATGGATACGTAGTCTCGGACTGAAAAGAATGCCTAGGTGGTTTCAAATATGTAGGTAGAAAGCGGAGCGCGATGGGAGATAGAGGACCTTCAGGGGCCTTCACACGAGCTATGCCAGAGCAAGGGTACAATTTGCCGCAAAACGAAACGTCGCAAGTCCACAGTCACACTACACACGCCACGCGTGAGCTCATTCCACAAAACTAGCTATAGACGTCCACAGATCAACGCAAAAAGCCTCTGTCAAAATGCAATTGAAACTACAATCAGGTGGGAAAAATCACTAGTCCAAAAGTAACGCAAGCCTTCGGTGGCATCGTACATTACAGTAGCCTCTCACGTCGTGTGTGCTTGATATTGACTCCCATGCTATAAATGCTACACATCGCCAGCGCATGGTCTTTTCACAGTACAAATGATAGCAATACTCGCATTACTCTCCCCATGCTTAGTCACATCTTCTTTATAAATTGGGGCGCGAAAGTGAAGAAAAAGCCGAATGCGTTCGGGTTAGAGACAAGTTAGAGACACAAGTGCAAAGCGTACAGCACGAGTGAGCCGCCAAAAGTAAACATTTTCGACCAGTGTTGCACAAGCTGGCCGCTGAATTGACGTAATAACAGTGACGCCTATGACGTCATACTAAGACATGACAAACGATGATGATTTGTCACCGAAACAACTTTGTTCGGAAACACGCGGTCAGCGGTTCCCGGTCATGTCAGCGATATACCCTTTATGATTGGTGGCATGATATTGATCGATTGCAGTAAGTCAGAGTGGCCTGTTGTCTACAGTCAACCCATTGGTCACCAATCGGCAAATGCCAGTCATCCGCAGTTGATGCTATCAGTCCCTATATCAGTTAATTTCGTCACGGTGTCAAATCGTGCCGCCATTTCGCGTACGTCACGCTGATTCGGGTTGTCCAAAGTTCACCATCTGCCCAATCTAATCCAAAGTACACTGAATGTCGAGTGCCCCCTGTGATCCACAGACGTCACCTTTGGTCGATTTTCCACATCGCTGGCGCGCCGTCCACGGCCAGCCATCCACCATATACCGATCCTCACCAGCCAAACTACGTCTCTCGACTTCCGTCTTCCATTAAATCTCTATCCGCGACCGTTTTGTGGACGCAAACAGCCCTGGGGGCGCAGCGGGCGAAAATACCTCGCCAACGACAGCAAGTCAAACTCGTGTAACTGCCTCTCGACGCTCCGGCGCGAGGCGGCAGCCAACTTACCCGCCGGCAGCTCACTAAGTTTGAAACCGGCCAACTTTGAGGCGGCGGCTGCTAGACGGCGGTTCGGTCTCGGATCGGCGCGGCGGCTCAAATGGAAAAATTCAGCAGTCTGCTGACAGCCAAGAACAGATGGGAGGTTGGGTGGGTGGATTGCACTTAGAGCTGCTAAAGGTGCTTTGAAAGTCTCCCCATACGGTAAACCGTCATGAGGTGACTGGTCGGACTAAAATCAGTCAGACTTGGTCAATGTCCCCGTCAGGACAGTCGAGCTCGTGGCGCGTCCTCGTCAGGGTCAGTTTATATTGTCACAAAACGCGACTTTCCCCGTGATCACAGCGGCTTGCGTTCCCCCGTGCGAGCTATCCCGCTCACAACACGCGCGGCGCACCACCACGCGCATCCATCACTCCCGGTACTCCTCCCGATGCTCTCAGTCACCTCACGACCTTTTCTGGGCCCACCGCATGTCATCGTCACGGGGCACGGCGCCCGTGAGCCAGCTCACGGTCGCCTCCAGTCGGCCCCAGAAGCCCAGTCGCTCCAGAGGCCAGTCCAGCCACCCCGTCGTGATGCAGTAGTAGGTATCGTGCGGCGCTACGTGGTGAATCCGGTGGTGGCGACGCGGCAGGATCACCCGGGAGTCCTGGAGCAGTGTCACGTACCACGGCAGACCGAAGTAGGTGTGCGACCACTTGTGGATCTGTGGAGGAAGAAAGGGAGCAGTCAGGCGTGAGTCACAGCGGGTTGAGCGTGCGGCACAGCGGCACACTTGTGGGGTCACTTGAGACGGAGTACAATACGGCATTGTTCGGTTGGCTGGTTGGACGGGGGCAGCATTCCACGATATTTCTAGCTTCTCCACTTCTTCAGACAAAGTCGCGAATCGACATGTTTCCCACCAATGTGTGCCTTTGCCACGGTGTTGTGTCTTTGACACGGTGTTGTACTTTACCACATATGCTATTTGAGCATTGTAACAGGTTTAGTCCCAATGAGTAGGTTTCAAGGAAGGAGGTGAGTGAACATTATGTTATATAGTGTGATTTTATTGTTCCCGAGATCCATACGATAATCGTCAATCAAATAAACAACAAAATTTGTTTTCAGATGGCTAAGAGCATCGTTCGATGATTGGATCGCATTCGCAGGTAATTTTCAGCAACTGTGGTGTAAAACGATAACATCTACGTGACCATATCTAACACCAGTTTGGTACAGCTGTAACGAATAATAATCAAATGTCACCGGATGCCGATAGCATAGAGAAACAAACCGTGTCAACCACGCCACCCCCATGTGTACACACAAAACAGCCGCGATAAAGCCAATCGTGAGCTGAATAAAGAAAGGCGGTCTCTGTTCGGCGGGCTCGCCGGATGTCGGCAGTGGCCACGATTAGGGACTGTGTAGAAACCAGCGATAACGGCAGTCAGGGGCAGACTTTCCCGGCATGATGGACGAGGTAGCAGGAAGGTTTAGATGGTGAGGCTGGTGCTGGGTTCCGAAGGGGTCGTTCGGTTTGGTTGGCAATTAACGATCCTTAATGCTGCACAAGGTGACAACAGAAGACCGACTGTTATGGCAGACTGTTCGGAAACTGTAGACAGCGCTCAAGCATCTTAGATAGATTTCAGTTGGGTAGATAATTATACGAACATTTGCATCTGATTTTGTTTGCATACTCTTCTTTTGGCGATAAAACGCCTTGTCTTTTATTCCCGACAACGAAG